CGCTCGGTGATCAAGTGGCCCATGTGCAACATGCAGAACTGCCAGATGATGATCACGTCAGGCGCGGCGCGCACCGAACCAATAATGATCTTCCTGCACTGGGCCTGGTCGGGCCCCTGGTCGGACTGGAAAGCGAAGATCCTGAGGTGGAGCGGGTCGATCGCTGCGGCGGCCGCGAACGCCGCGTCGGGGTCCTGCTCTTGCTCATGCTGCCTCGCCTCAACCCCATCGTCCCACAGCCGCACCCCAGCGCAAGAGAGCTGCTTGCGGTAGAGCGCACTCTGCGTGTGGCCCGTGTTGGAGTGGGGGATTTGTGCAATGTCTGGCCAGATTTCATACACGGCTGGGTTGGGAATCTCTTCGTGATCCCACGTGCCATCCTCTGTCATGATCTCCGCAGTTGCTGCGGCTCCGTGGCGATGGTGGCGGTACGGGTCGAGCTCATAGAGGCTGCGCACGCACGTCACGTGGGCATTCATTTGCAACTTCACGGCGCTGTTGGTGCCGTCGCCAGCAACGCTGTGTATCTCATAAGTGAACTTCCGACCCCCCTGCAGGTGGCCACCGCCCTCGCCCTCGACCGCGTGCACGACGTCGCCGCGCTCGACTCTGGCGAGGAAGTCCAGGCGTCGGCGGTGCCACTCTCGCGACTGCAGGGTGATGTTGCATGCGAGCCTCTTCTCCCACCTACTGCATGAGTACCTGCTGACACGGACGTCCAACACGCCCAGGAGGCTCTGCTGGGAGACCAACCCGATTGCTCGTTTCAGCGCGAGAGAATACCCGCCTGAAATAGTCAACGTGTTCCGATGCTTCACGACGCCTCTCGCCCTGGTGCTGCGCTTGCAATGCTCGTACTGTTGCTGGTACCACTTCATTTCCAAGCGCATGACCCTGATGACCTCCTTCCTTTCCGACGCCTTCTTCTTGTGGTACCACGCTCTGTTGCGAGCCCTCTTGAGCATGTTCATGTCGGGGCAGCCCTCGTCGTCGTCGGAGTCTGACTGCGACGGCGGGTTCGGCGGCTCCGCCACCTCAGGACCGACCCGAATCCCCTCGCCCACGCCATCCTCCTACTCATCCCCCCCGCTCCTCTTCCGCCCTCCTCCCTCCCCCCTCCTCTCCCCCCATCCTCAGAGAGGAGGAGGAGGAGGAGGAGGAGGAGGAGGAGGAGGAGCCATGAGAGGAGGAAGAAGAAGGCCCCCCTGGGCCCCTCCCGCTCCAGGTGATGCGGCACCGCGTGGCGCCGCGTGACCGCGCTGCGGGCGCGGGCCACTAGGGGCACGGGCGCTAGGCGCTAGACGGGGCGGGGGGGGCCTCCTTCTTCCCCCCATCCGACTCCGGCCCCCTCCACTCCGACTCCACTCCGACTCCACTCCGCTCCTTCATTCATCCCCCCAGCCTTTCAACCTCTAACCCAAGGACGCCCATTTCGAAAACGATCGGCCACCGCGCGCTCGTGACGAAACGGCCCCGAGGGGAGGGACTGCCTTCTATTCCTCCTCCCCGTTCCTCTTCCTCCTCCCCCCCCCCTTCCTCCGAGCCTCTCCCCCATCCTCAGGGGAGGGGAGTCGGAATCGGAGTCGGAAACCCGTGCAACTCAAGTCATAGTCCAAGGATGGAGTCCAAGGAGGGGGGACGCGCCTTGTCAAGAGCACCACGAGACCTCGCGAGGCCAAACCCCCCCAGCAGCAGCCTGTGGCGGCGCGAAGGGCACTCTTCCCACTCTTCCCCGCAGTCTGGCTGTCCCAGGGGGGTGCAAGGGGTCCCGCGTCCACGAGGGAGGGGAGGGAACGGCGGTGGCGAGTGGCGCAAGCCGAACAGGATGGATGGGGAGGTAATCATCCTCCTTCTCTTCGTCCTCGCCTCCTCCTCCTCCTCCTCCTCCTCCTCTACCTCCCCTCTGCCCTCTGCCCCATCTCCTCCTCCTCCTCCCTCATCCTCCTCGTCCTCGTAGACTGGAACGGACTCCGCGTATCCGCCTGGCCCTCTGGCCGAATGCAGGGAGGAGGCGGGGGTTGGCAGAGGGGCCCCTGGCAGAGGGGGGATTGATTGGCCCCCCGCCCCCCGGACCAGCGCCAGCGCCGCGTGCAGTCCGCGCCCAGGCGGCTCCGCGGCAGCTGCCGCGAGCTGGGCGTCCAGCTCGCCCCACGCCTGCGGCGGGAAAAGAGAAGGTGCTGGAAGCCCCCCCCCTCCTCCGACCCTCCTCCCCCCCCCTCCTCCGCCTCCTCCTCCCCCCGAGGAAGGAGGAGGGAGGAGAAGGAGAAGGAGAAGGAGAAGAGAAGAAGGAGGGGAGGAGGAGGAGAGAGGAGATGAGGAGAAAGAGGAGGAGAGGAGGAGGGGAATACGGGAATACGTAAGCAAGAGGTGGAGGAGGAGGAGGAGGAGGAGGACTGGGAGCGGGCGAAAATGACGGGAGAGGAGTCGAGGAGGAGGAGGAGGAGGAGAGAGGAGGAGGAAGAGGAGGATCAGGAGGAGGAGGAGGAGGAGAAGGAGGAGAAACCCACGACCTGAATCGACAGCTCGACGCCACACTGGTTGGCCAACTCCATCACGTCGCACGTGCTCAGCGCGCCAGGGACGCAGGAGGTGGTGCTCGCCGCCACCGCTGTCCTCAGCATGGAACGGGCTTTGGCCACGTTCAGCGAGCGCCCCACCACGTCCTCGCCGCCGCTGTGCAACTCCGCCAACCAAGGCACCACGCTGGCCACCTGGAAGATGCACCGCGGCCACTCGGCCCGCGCGACCAACGGGCCGAGGCGCTGCAACGCACCGCGGAGGTCCGCCATGCGGCCAAACGCCCCGCGGCCCGAAGGAAAAAGGAACACGACGCCGCCGTGCCCAACCGGAGGACGACGAGAAGGGAGGAGGAGACGAGAAGAGAGGAGGCCCGAAGGAAGAGACCGGAGGACGACGAGAAGGGAGGAGGAAACAGGAGGAAAAGGGGGAGGACTGAGGGGAGGAGAACGACGACGACGGCGACGGCGACGGCCGTCGCTCCCCCTTCCTCCAGCCACTATGGCCGCGGCCCGGCGGGGCTCGCGCGCGCCCGACGCGCCCGACATTGGGCCGCCGACGGCGTCGGCGACGACAGAGACGGCGACGGCGAAGGCGACGACGACGGCGACGGCGACGACGACGACGACGGCGGCGGCGGCGGCGAGGACGACGACGGCGGCGGCGGCGGCGACGACGACGGCGACGCCGACAGCGTCGGCGACGACGGCGATGGCGACTGCGACGGCGACGACGACGGCGACGACGACGACGACGACGACGGCGGCGGCGAGGACGACGACGACGGCGGCGGCGGTGGCGGCGATGACGACGGCGACGGCTCGGCGACGGCGGCGGCAGCGGCGGCGGAGACGGCGACGGCCCGACGGCGACGAAGACGACGACGCCCCTCGTTTCCTGAAGGCGGGGCCCGCCCCAGCCTAAGGATCCCGAGTGCGCAACCGTATTTTAAGGCCCGCGCCGAAACGGGTCTGGCTATGGGTGTCGAGAAATGACGATGGATTTCGCAGAGTAACCGTATGTTACGGCCCGCGCCGAGATGTGGGTTTGACTATAGGTGTTAAGAAATGGCGATGGAATTCTGAGCGCAACCGTATGTTACGGCCCGCGCAGGGATGTGGGTTTGATCATAGGTGTCGAGAAATGACGAACGAAAGCAGCAGAAACGTAATGCGACATGTATTTTTCGATTCGGAAACCAGTCATAAACGCGACAACATGTTATTTTTCCCTCTTGGGAAATTACAGAAACGCTGAATCATGCTATGTTCGATGAGGTTTTCTGAACATCAATAAATCCGTTACAAATAGAAGCACAATGTAGCCCAAATGCAAGCAGACCAACGGAATCCAATGGCTTTCGTGTCCTAAGCACGTTCCCAACTGTAACCCTTCTCCCTGGGGGCCCTGCGCCATCCGCGCGGATCGGGTGCTGCTAGAAGTACCCCTGGCCCCAGGTGCCCCCAGCTTTTCGCTCCATTTTGGAGCCCATGGGGCCCTCTGGGCTTCGTGAGGGGTGCTTTGGAGGCCTTTTGGGCTATCTTGAAAATCCTGGGGGCACCTTGGCCCAGGGGCACTTCTAGCAACACCCGAGGCGGAGAGCAACACCCGAGGAGGCTGCAGCCGGGGCTCCGTGAGGCCTGCCGCCGGCATCCATCGCGGGCCGGATGTCGTGAGAGGCAACGCCGCCCGCCAGGTGGCTCGCTGCCGCAGGCCGTTTCGGAGTGAGCGCTGTGGCAGAGGCCCAGGACCTGGCCCCAGAATGGCCTGAGCCAGTGGCCCGAGCCAGAAATGGCTACGGGCTGGGAAGGATGGAAGGAGAGACCGGGAGAGAGAGAGAGAGAGAGAGAGAGAGCGAGCGAGCAAGAGCAATTTGCTCCGAACTAATCAAACATATTTCGCGATGTGTTGAACAAATCGCGTAGCCTGCTCAGAGTCCGGCTGAAAAATGCAACATGCGCAATGCTTGAATGAGGAAACATAGAATAATACGAAACGCATACCTCTACCGAATTTGAATGCTTCGATCGAATTACTTAATTAAACAAAGAACGAGATACAGAAAGAAAGAGAGAGAGAGAGTGAGTGAGATGGCGAACAAGAAGGAGAGAGAGAGAGAGGGAGAGAGAGGTTGACAGACCAGCTAGTAATCAGTGCGTGACGCTGCCGGCTGTGTCTTGCCACATATTCGGGAGGGCAAGTTGCATAACGATGATAAAGAAGGAGGGACGGGACGAGGAATGGGACGAGGGCACGGACGAACACCAGCTGGCCATCGCTCGGACGTCCATTCCCTGTGTTTTTTGTCGGTTTCGTGCGTGGCTTTTTCGCCAAATGATCAAGGATGCTCCTCGATGGTCCTCGCCGAAGGAGAAATGCACACGTCCGAGCGATGCCAGGGACGAGGGCGCGGACGAACACCAGAAGGGAAGGAGGCGGAGGAGGAGCAGGAGCAGGAGCAGCGGGAGCTGGCGGCAGAGGACCTTCGGGTGCGCTGGCAGTTTCGGCGCGCGGCTGCGCCGGGCAAGCCTGGCGGGGCGGGAGCTCGAGTCTTCCTCCTCGTCGTCCTGCTTCCTCGCTCCTACCCATCATCCCTGTCCACCGCCTCCTCCTCCTAAGTACATATCATTATCGTCATCCTCGTCACCATCCTCGTCCCCCTCCTCCACTCTCCTCCTCCATCTGCCCCCCTCCTCCTCCTCCTCCTCCTCCTCCTGCTCCACCTCCTCCTCCTCCTCCTCCTAATGCTGCCGCCTACCACCGCCACTGAAGTATGAATGATCCAGCCCTGTCCACGCCCAACTGTGAATAATCCTGCAAGAACCGAGAAGGAGGGGAGAGCGGTACACGAGGGGAGGCTGCGGGAGGGAGCTCACTGCCGACAGAATTTAACGCCACAGTCCCCCATGCGGTCCCAATAATTTCGCCAGATGTCAGGCGCGCGTAGCGGACCCAGACGACACTGGGACAATCAAGCAGCGGATCCGTTCAACTGCGGGCTCCATGGCTTGGGCAGGTTCATCTCGAACCGAGATATATCTCGAGCCGAAATGTCTAAAGAGCGCCGGCAGCCCCGCACGCGAGGCGGTGACGGCTGCGATGTCTCTCGTAGTTCACGGGCGCGTGGCATGTTCTCCATGTCTCGCGCGAACGCGCTGGCCCACGACTAGGAGGCACCTAGGAAACATACGGTCGCGCTCCGACTACAACAAGCGCAGCACTGGTTTGTGCAAGCGCTGGCGCGCCCACAGACGCGTCTCGCCTTGCTCCGCCCCCGCCGCCAGAACCGCCGATCGCCGCCGCCAGAACCGCCGATCACCGATCGCGGTTAAGAGCGGGGCGCGACGCAGTGACTCAAACAACAACAACGAGGCGAGACAAGCGCAAGCGTTCTGCTACGACGAGCGTCCCGCACCAGAGTGGTGCGGGAAGTGCGGATAGTCACGCGTGCACGCGTGCTAACTCGTGGCGGATGCTCCGACGGGAAAGTACGGCGCCAATGACGGTCACGCACGAAGCCGAGTGCGCCTTGGATGTTGCACACGCGCACCGAAACCCCTTGTAGCATGTAAGACGTTTCGAGGACTGTGTGATAACAGCGAAGCAATCTCTGGGCTCCGAAAAAGGCGGTTGCAAGATCAACCGATGATCTTGGGAAGGCGCTCCTTGACATGATACGCAAACACCCTCTTCGCACTCACTGAACCATTTGCAAAAACAACGCATTACTCAGTGCAAGATGGCTTTGTGCTTGGTATGCGAGTCGGCCACGGTAGAGGGTGAAATGTGAGAAATTGAGGCGGGGTATTGCTCAACCGCTGCGGTACGACAAACACCCAGAAACTCGGCACCCCCAAAAGCGTCGGTTGGCCGAACGGGCGGTGGCACCTCCCAGCTCAGTGGAGCGGTGGCTTTCATGAAATGGGCGCACTGATAAAAGTACAAGGGCGACTGGTGAAGGGTACAGCACCTCCTACTCCTTCTCTTCCTCAGCCTCAACTTCCTCCTTCTAATGATCCTCCTCTTCCGCATCCTCCTCGTCCTCCAACCCATCCCCCATGACTGTGCGCCATGCTCATTATTGCCGCATCTTCATCCTCATTCCATCTGCCTTGCAAATATACCATCTTCGTTGGACTCCACAGCGTGTCGGCAGGACTGGCTGGGCGTCTTGCCTGAGACTGCCTCAACATTTACGGCATTGAAAAGTCATAGATCGAACACTCGATGACTCGGACGGAGGGCTGGCCGCATCCAACATGTGGCTTTTGCCTTAGCGCCGTGCACACCCATCTGATGAACAACCACACCCACGCAGACGGAGCCCATGCCGTTGCCAAGATGTCGCTCTCGCCCCATTGCCGGCACAGGCGTCCTCAAAGCGTCCAACAGTTGCAAGGAGGGAGGGCCGCCCTCTTTCACAATGTGGCTTTCGCAGTGTCGCCACGCACGCTCGTCTTGGAGTTTGACCGACCGCTACACGATAGGGAGGTTCGGAGTCTGCGTGCTGGTCTCGCCTCGGCGCCGCGCAGATTCGTCCCAGAGGTCTCCAGCGGCCACAGGGGTGGCAGGCGGCCCCTCTCCAAAATTGGGCTCAACCCAGCTCCCCGCACATTTTTTTTTTGTTTGATTCGCGGGTCGAGAGCGCACCTCTTCCAGTCGAAGCTAAGCGGGCCGCGCAAAGCTTGAATTACGCAGAGAAGAGGGAGGAGAAGGGGGGCGCAGCCTCAGAACGAGGCCGGGAGGAGGCAAAGCCCCGGAACCACCAGCTCCCCGCACACATCTCTCTGCTGGTGGCTGCACGGATGGAGGGCAAGTCTGCTACGGAACGAAGGATCTCGCGTGATGCTCCCTCGAGCCGAACTGCCGAAGCGAGGCTGGCGCTGAGCACTTCCACTGAGCTTAGTACGATCGTATATCCTTGAAGTTGGCACGTGTGCACCACCCGTCCGGCCCCGCCGCCCCGGGCAACAGCCAGGGGGAAGGGGGGGTTGAAACGCCGAGCGCGGGCAAAGGCGCTTGACGATCACGGGGGAATACCCCGGAGGGGGGAAAAAGGGGAGGAGGAGGAGGGGAGGGGAACCCGAAGACGGAGGAAGCGGACGCGCGGCCGTGGGGCCTCAGCCACCGACCCCCACCGTTAGGCGCGCGCGCGCGCCCGCCTGGGGCAGCAAGCGGGGCAAAAGTCCGATGTATGACCGAGGCCGTCCCCGAAATCATGCAGGGCTGTATAGGACGGGAGGGCGTGCTGCAGCAGCTGGTTCATCCAGGGTTTACTCTGGGTCAACCTCCTCCTCCTCCTCCTCCTCCTCCTCCTCCTTCTCGTCCTCCTCGTCCTCCCCTTCCTCCTCCTCCTCCTCCTCCTCCTCCTTCTCCTCCTCCTCCTCCTCCCCCTTCTCCTGCTCCACCTCCTCCTCCTCGTCCCCCTTCTCCTGCTCCACCTTGTCTTCCAACTCCTCCACTCCCTCCTCCGGTCGCTCCTCCTCCTCCTCCTCCTCCTCCTCTGTCGCCATCCCCTCGTCCTGCTTTGTGTCTCGTCCTCCACTTCCTTTTCGTAGTCCGCGTTTTCCTTTCCGCCTGAGGCTCCTCCCCCATTCTCCTCCTCTCAGTACTTCGTCCTCCAGATACTCATCCTCCCTCCTCCTTCTCCTACTGCTTCTTACGTACCCCTCCCCCCGCCCATCCTTGTCCTCTTCGTTGCACTGTTTACTGCTTACTCTCTTCCTCTGCTCCTGTTGCTGCTGCACCTCCTCTTGCTGCTGCTACGCCAGGTGCAACGGCGATGCGTCAGAGGCGACGGCACAAGCCCACCTCGGGGTCCTCGCTCGGCTGCTGTTCGGGCGCCATGGTCGCCGCGGGCCGCGCGAGGGGTGAGCCCAAATCCACGTGCCGGGCCGAGACGGCTTTCGCAACGGAGCCAGGGCTTGCAGACATCCCTCCCTCGCTGGGCCTCCTCTCAGGCAAGGGGTGCATTCAATGTTCCATGGTCGCCCTTCCGATCCGCCACCGTGCCACCGGGCGGCAAGTGGCGCGATGTGGTGTGATCATGTCGTCTGGCTGGGCTCCTGGAGATCTGCGGAATCCCGTCCGCTCCTCGCCGCGGTCGCCTGCACACGCCGGCCCACCCCGGGATTCCTCCCAGCGGCCTTCGGGGCCCCAGGACCGTCCAACCCGCCTTGCGCATGGCTCGGGGCTGCCCTGAGGCGGTCCCCGAAGGCTCCAGGCGAAGTTCCCCAAATCGACACCAGCCCCGATGGCACACGTGGCGGGTGGGGCCTCCACGTCTCGTCCTTCCGCCAAGGCACGGCGGCGAAATGTGCGGCGGCGCCAATGGACAGATCAATGGAGCATCCTGCTGCCAGTGCGGATACCGCGGGGCGGCCGTGCTACGAGACAGCTGAATCCCACCAGCCATTTAGGGTGTAGGCGTTTTAGAGCGGTTCCTCTTCCAACCACTTTCTCCCCCTTCGAGGAGCAATTTATCAATGCTCCTTGTTAATGTAAACCCCCTCCCCCAGGCGACCGGCGTCCAACCAGGAACCATGAGGACACCATGACGACCCGCCCCCCACCATCCCTGTCAAAAACAATACAAACCGCACTCTGCCACCACATTTGGAGCATGCGCGGCCGACCCGATGCGGCCCCCCCCCACCATCCCTGTCAAAAAACAATACAAAGTACACTTTGGGGCGAAGTCTTGGGTCATACTCGTGAGGCCCGCAAACACTTTGTATTGTTTTTGACAGGGACGGCGGGGGTGCCAGCATATTCCCTGCCGCGCGCAGGGCTAGCATCCCTGACAAAAAACCACACAACATGCACCTCACGGCTAAATCTGGATCATTCGCTGCCATCCCGCGATCAGTGTTTAATGGTTTTTGACAGTGACCGCGGGGGTGGTGGCGCGTGGCCTGCTGTGCGCAGGCCCACCAGACACAATGATGGGCATTGGTTTTCGACACGGATGGCGCCGGCCGACATGTTTCCCGATGTGTGCTGTCACGTGCGCAGGCGCACCTGACGCACTCTGCGCGTGCCCTGAGCATGGCGCACCTGGCGCGGCTGGAGTGTGCTGCACACCTGTCGCACTCGGAGCACGTGGCGCATCTGGCGCACCAGGCGTGCCTGGCACGCTCGGGCCCCAGGGGTGCCTGGCACGCGTGGCGCCCCTGGCACGCGTGGCACACCTCGCCCAAGCGTCGCTCACCTGGGGTCAGTTTTGGTTCCCAGTAGCTGTCCATCCAAAGACGACCGCTGAACATGCTCAGGCTCGGGTGTTCCATTTGTGTTGGGAGGGCGGGTGGGAGTGAACTAGACGGCTTGCGGGCAGGTGGGTAGCTTGGAGGGCTCTTAGGCTGGGTCGGGCTCTTCACTGCCGATTCACTGCCTTGCGGTCTTTTGCCATGAACTTTGCGCAATCAAACGGTGGACACGGATGGAAGATGGAGAGCAGGTCGCATGTGGCTCTCGCCTCAGCGCCGCGCACGTTCGTCTAAGAAGCTTACATCAATTAATCGGACGGGGAGAGGGATGGTACAGGCCTCGGAAAAATAGCGAACACTCATGCCACTTTCATCTGTGAACGCCTTCCCCTCCCCCCAATGTTCAAAGTTGGCGGTGGGTCTGATGAGTTGCACCTCGACCGCAGTCTCCCCCGCGCGTGCCAACTTTGAGTTTGGGGGGGCAGGGGGGGTGTTCCCTAATTGTTTTCCCCCTACCGTACCACAATTTGGTTCTCTCGTCAGCACTGCGCGCATCCGTTCTGAGAACTCCCAACATGTACCGAAGGCCTCGCCCTCTCGCTGGCGCACGTCCCGCGCCGAGCCCTCCAGCAGCTCCGCCGGTGGAGGCCCGCTCGTTCTGAGCACGGGGCTCTCGCCTGCGAGGTCCACAAGACATCCTCCTCCTCCTCCTCCTCCTCCTCCTCCTCCTCCTCCTCCTTCCTCCCCCTCCTCCTCCTCCTCTCCTCCTCCTCCTCCTCCTCCTCCTCCTCCTTCCTCCTCTCCCCTCCTCCTCCTCCTCCTCCTCCCTCCTCCTCCCTCCTCCTCCTCCTCCTCCTCCTCCTCCTCCTCCTCCTCCCTCCTCCTCCTCCTCCTCCTCCTCCTCCTCCTCCTCCTCCTCCTCCTCCTCCTCCTCCTCCTCCTCCTCCTCCTCCTCCTCCTCCTCCTCCTCCTCCTCCTCCTCCCTTCCTCCGTCGGCGGCGAGGCAAGGGCAGTCCGCTCCGGCGTGCGCCTCATCGGGGCAGCCGAGATGCGACTGGTCCGGCGTGCAGGAGGAAGGGGAGAGAGCGACGAGGCATGTCCTCCGCACATCTGCTCGGGCGCACCTCGCACAGGGTGCGGCGGCTCTGCGCGGACGAAGGGCGGCGCCTTCCCTCACGAGCGGGCCGCCGTTGCCGAGGACGCGCTGGATCCGGCGGGACCTCTGCAGCACGTGTGCACTGGCAGCACGGATGCGGGGCGGTGCTCTGGCGGGTCGGGGCTGGCGCCGGGGGCGCCCGCCGTGGCGCAGGCCCCGCCGCGGCTCGCGGGGCGGAGGGCGGCCCCCCCGCCGAGGCCTGTCTGGCTCGAAGGGGCGAAGGCTCCCGGAGGTGCCACGGTGGCCAGGGCGCAGGCGCCCCCCTCGCCCCCCAGGCAGTCCCTGCCACCCCGCCCGTCTTCCCTGCTGCCCTCCCTCTCCGCGCACGCCCTCCTCGCTCCTGCCTCCTCCTCCCTCGCACCTCCCCCGCTTCGTCGCCCCTCCTCCTTCCGGTCTCCTCCCTTCGACTCCTTCCTCCCTCCCGGACCCCCTCCCCCCCTGCTGGCGTCCGAAGGCAAAGGCAGGGCGTGAGGGCAAAACTTCGTTGGGACAAATCGGGAATCTGTGAGAACCGGCAGGCCTGGAGGATTTATCGAGCACCACAGCCGCTCCAGAGAATGTTCTAGGACACTCAGGAGCTGCTTGCCCTTGTCCTATAGGTCTGCCTGAACGCCAGTCTCCAAAGGTCCACACGAACCCCTGGAGGCTCCCAGAAGTGCCACAGTGACCAGAGCGCAGGCGTGCGAGACAGCCTCCGAGCCCATGCCTCCCCAGACGTCCAGCGGCGCGATTCTGTGGAGGCACGGGCCCCCCTTTCCCTCGCGCCGGCTGTCCAGCCAGACCGCTGCTTTCCATTCATGGCGCTGGGGGGGCCTGGCACAGGGGAACCCCCGGAAAAGGCCCACGCTGGGGAGACACAGGACGCCTTGGCCTTGTCTCGGGGGTGGACAGAACCTCAGGTCGGGCATGTCCCCCTACAGTGGGATTTTGGAAGGAAAATGACAAATAATCAAAGCACATTCAATAATGTACCATAAAAAGGGAAACAACAGACAATTGTTCCCAACCATCCTGTGGCGTTGGGTCCACGTTTTGACGGGACAGCGCCCCGCGCTCCTCCTCCTCCTCCTCCTCCTCCTCCTCCTCCTCATCATCATCATCATCATCATCATTATCATCTTCTTATCCTCTCATCTTCCTCCTCCTCCCTCCTCCCTCCTCCCACCTCCCATCATCATCATCATCATCATCATCATCATCAGCAGCATCATCAGCATCATCAGCATCATCATCATCGTCATCATCATCATGATCATGATCATGATCATGATCATCATCATCATCACCATCACCATCACCATCACCATCACCATCATCATCATCAGCATCAGCATCATCATCCTCATCCTCATCATCCTCATCATCCTCATCATCAGCATCATCCTCATCAGCATCATCATCAGCATCACCATCATCCTCATCCTCATCCTCATCCTCATCATCATCCTCATCCTCTTCCTCCTCCTCATCATCATCAGCATCAACATCAGCATGAGCATCATCATCATCATCATCGTCATCATCAGCATCATCATCATCACCATCATCAGCTTCATCATCAGTATCATCTCCATCGTCATCATTGTCGTCGTCATCAGTATCATCACCACCACCACAACCATCACCATCATCATCAGCAGCAGCATCAGCATCATCATCATCATCATCATGATGATGATCATGATCATCCTCATCCTCATCATCATCATCCTCATCATCATCATCATCATCATCATCATCATCATCACGCTTCGTGGCCCCATAGGGAGCTCCATCGAAGGTCCCAGTGGCGCAGCCCGCATGCGCCTCCCACACCCAGTACAATGTTTCGAAGATCCAAGTGGCGCAGCCCACATGCGCCTTCTCCCCACCCAGTACAGCATTTCGTGGTCCCATAGGGAGCTCCACCTAAGGTGGCAGTGGCGCAGCCCGCATGCGTCTCCCCTGCCCAGTACAGCGCTTCGTGGCCCCATAGGAAGCTCCACCCAAGGTCCGAGTGGCGCAGCCCGCATGCGTCTCCCACATCCAGTACAAAGTTGCGTGGCCCAATAAGGAGCTCCACCGAAGGCCCCAGTGGAGCAGCCCGCATGTGTCTCTCACACCCAGTAAAGCTTTTCGCGGTCCCGCAGGGAGCTCCACCGAAGGTCCCAGTGGCGTAAACCCGCATGCGTCTCCCCCGCCCAGTACAGCGCTTCGTGACCCCATAGGGAGCGGCACCGAAGGTCCCAGTGTCGCAGCCCGCGTGCGTCTCCCCTTCCGAGTATTTTGCGTCATGGCTCCATAGGGAGTTCCACCGAAGGTCCCACTTGCGTAGCCCGCATGCGCCCGCCTCCCCAACCCAGTACAGCGCTTCGTGACCCCATAGGGAGCTCCACCGAAGGTCCCAGTAGCGCAGCCCACCTGGGTCTTCCCCACCCAGTGCAACGTTGCGCGGCCCCATAGAGTGCTCCACCGAAGGTCCCAGTGTCGAAGCCCGCATGCGTCTCCCCCACCGAGTATCACGCTTCATGGCCCCATAGGGACTCCACCAAAGGTCTCAGTGGCACAGCCCGCATGCGTCTCCCCAACCCAGTACAGCGCTTCGTGGCCCCGTAGGGAGCTCCACCGACGATCCCAGGGACGCAGCCCACATGTGCCTTCTCCCCACCCAGTACAGCGCTTCGTGGCCCCATAGTGAGTTCCACCGAAGGTCCCAGTGGCGCAGCCCGCATTCTCCCCCACCCAGTACAACGTTTCGTGGCTCGCTCAAAAGGGACCTCCACCGAAGGTCCCAGTGGTGCAGCCCGCGTGCGTCTCCCACACCAAGTACAACATTCCGTTGCCCAGTGGCGCAGTCCGCATGCATCTCCCCCGCCTGGTACAGCGTTTCGTGGCCCTAGAAGGGGGGGCTCCACCGAAGACGATACCTACAACTGCGGGATTCACAACTGCATATGGTTGGGTCCTTCGCCAGGCTAATTCTACTGTTTTTGAATCTTCCTCCTGTAGAGGGTCGGGATTTCAATCGCGTCGGCCTCCGAGTGTCGAACCGAGAGATGCGGGTCGGGCGAAGGGGAAGGGATTAGCCAAGGGGGGTAGCAATGAACTCACGCAGCTGATCCCGCTCCGGCGCCTCCCGGCGCCAAAGGCGCCAGGGCACCAACATCGAGGGAAGCGCCTGGCGGTGGGGCCGAACCAGCTGCACCCAGCAAACGTCATACCCCCCCTTTCCCGATCCCCTTTCCCTGAAATCCGAGGTAGTGGGAAAATGGCAACTTGGGAGTCCCGAAACGGTGCGGTGACGGACCGTGCGGTGACCTCGAAATCCCCCAAGACCTCACCGCACGGTCCGTCACCGCACGGTCTTGGGACCCTGGAGGCCCCTGTCGCCCGAGACGTCCTCGGAGAAGGACCCGAGTCCCAAAACCGTGCGGTGACCCCGAATCCCCACCAACTCACCGCACGGTGTGGTCACCGCCCCGTTTGGGGACCCCCGAGCAACGTCCGTCAAAAACTGACAAAAATCACGACCGGACCTCGGACCCTACCAGCCCCGATCTTGTGGCGCCAATTGTTGAGTCAGATCGATCTGTGAGGGTCCGCGGGGCCCGAAACTGGGCGAACACGCCCAGCTCCAGAACAATTGAGACGCCGAGCTCTCGGGGTCCCCCCCTTCCCTCCGACCCGCTTGTCCCCCCCCCCACTTCCTCCGACTCGCCAGATCCCAGAGATCCGATGTCTTGACTTGTTCAATGAGGTGCCCCCGAAATCTTGACCCACAGCCAGGGACCAGCTTTAGGTCGGGCCTGTCCCCCTGCAGGGGGGTTTGTGGACTCAAAATAAAAGATAGTCAAACAAATATTCAACAAATGCCCAAAAGTAGTCAACAACTCGTCCCCAGACTATTTTTGGTAAATTTTTGAATTTTCCTCTTGTAGAGGGACATGCGCGACTTAAGACCAGCTTTTCATCCTGGGTCGTCTTCCGACGGCCCAGGGGCCCAGCCGGCGCGCACATAGAGGCGGAAGAGAGAGAGAGAGAGAGAAACCACAAAAAACCTGCTTGTTTCAATGCGTTGGATCTCTTGGATGTCTGGCTAGAACCTGTTTTCTATGATTCGCGATAACGCGCGTGACCGGCCATGCCCGCCTCCTTCCCCCCCGCCTGGCCACCCCACGATTCACGCTGGCGCCGTGCGGGGAATGAGCCATTCCCACGCATTTCCAGACGGCGGCAGCGCGAATCGTGACGTGACCGTCCCCCCCCATGCACCAGTCACGCCCGTCATCAGGTCAGGTCAGGTCAGGCCGCAGGCTGCGGCAGTCCGTGGGCCGTGCACGATACGTGGGCGATGACGCCGTATTTGACGGCCTCCACCCTGCAAGCTGCTGCATGCATCGGCGGCGAGCAAGTGGGGGACACGAGAAGGAGAAGGCCTTCTCAGAAAGGCAGCGGGGCTTCCCAGAGGCCCTCGCGCCTCCCGAGAGAAGTTTTCGCCCGTCGCCGGGGAAGGCTTCGGAAACTTCCCAGAAGGCCGGGGGGCTGCCGAAGCCTCCGAGAAGGCCCTCTCCTTCTCACCCCCCCCCCCCTCGCTCGAGGCCGAGTGCACATGGAGGAGGAGGAGGAGGAGGAGGAGGAGGAGGAGGAGGAGGAGGAGGAGGGCGAGCAGGAAGAGGGCCCTCGCTCGAGGCCGAGGTGCACATGTCTGTGGCGATGCAGAGGGGGGGGAAGCGAGGGCGCACGGCGTACGCAGGGAAGGGAGGGAGGAGGGGCGCGCGGCGAGCGAGGACACGCCCGGCGAGGCCACGAGAGGGAGAGAGAGACTCAAGATACCCAAGGACACACAAGTAAATACACTCCAATAAAATGATCCCCCATATTTTCCCATATGTTCTGGGTGTCTGTCTTCCCCCCCACTTCCCACATCTTCCCACAGTTTCCGGGGGATCGACGACTCATTGTGTCTGTGTGTGTTTTTTCCCCCTCCTGAGAGACAGAGGGACGGACGCCAAAGGGGGGCGAGGGAGGAAAAACGCGAGCGAGAACACCCGAACGACGGCTGCTCCTTCAGTCGGCCCGTATCATGAGGATGCGCGGTAAGGATAGAAGAGCCTTGGACGCCCACTTCGAGACTTTTCGAGCGGGGCGCGGCCACCGAGAGTTGTCCAGGATAGGGGCGAGGAGGCCAGGATGCAAGGGCACCCTTGGGTTATGTCGCGCCCATCGTGCTTAAAGACCACATCCCAGAAATGATTTCGAGCACCCGGACAAGTGTCGAAAGAGTGTCGAAACAATGTCGAAAGAGTGTCTCCCAGGGCCCAGCACGTGAAAAACCTCGAGTTTCGGTACTTTTTTCTGGTGCTCGAAAGTCTTTCTGGTGATCAAGACTAGGGTAGGTTGGAACATCGTAACCTTGGGAGGGTTGCCCATCCTCACTGTGCGGGCTGACCCTGTCACTGTGAGGAGGAGGAGGAGGAGGAGGAGGAGGAGGAGGAGGAGGAGGAGGCTCCCCGCCCGCCCGACTTCTTTTCCAATGCATATGCGGCCCGCCAGCTTCCGGCCGTGCGCGGAGCGGGCCGGCCCCGCTCTCCGCGCGCGCGCGGCCCCGCCCTCTCGCGGCCCTCTCGCCCCGTGCCTCCAGAGCGCCTCCCGCCTCCGCAGACGCCTCAGAGGGCCCTTGCCCCCCCTGCTTCTGGCCGGCGCCTCCCCCGCCTCCGCGGGGGGCTCGTGCTCCGCGTCGCCCCCGCCTCGCTGACGCTCCGGCGACGCGGCGCGATCCTCCGAGAACCCGACTGCTCCAGCCCAGCCTGGGCGGCCCGGAGAGGAGGGGAGCCCCGGCGGGGCTTCGCCGCGCAGCGCCGTGCCCGTCGCGCAGCTGCCGGGCGGGGCAGCCGCCTCTGCGAGCGAGCCATGCCTCTGTGCAAGCGCGACGCCTCCAGCCACCACTGGGAGCGGACGAGAGCAACCCGACGCGCATCTCCCTCCGCGCCTCCCCCCTCCTCCCGCCAACACGTCTCGCCACCAATCCGTCGCCTCCACGCCCAGCTCTGCCGCCCATGCACCGCGGCCCGCGCTTGCACCCAGCACTGCCGTCCCCAGGCACCACGGCCCGCATCGCCCTGCATCCACGCTCCCGCACCGCTCCCTGCCGTGCGAGCACCACGGCCTCACGCCGCTCAGCATCCACAGCCCGCATCCTGCCGTGAGCATCCACGGCCCGCCGCTCCGGCCCCAGCGCACAAATCACACTCCAGGGGTCTCCGCGAACAGAGTCTTGTTGGACGGCCGAGGACGAGCGGCCCCGAGCGGGGCCGAGCCGGAGCCAGCCGAGAAAGCGAGTTGTGGAGCCCGTGGGCGGCGAGCCCGCAGCGCAGGTAGCAGAGCACCGTCGAAGGCCTCAAACAACTGCACACAGTTCATAAGGGGGGGGCCTCAGACTCTCGCCATGGCTCGGACGTCCATTCCCTGTGCTCTTTTCGGTTTCGTGCGTTTTTGTTCGCTGGATGATCAAAGATGCTCCTCGATGGTCCTCGCCGAGAGAAAAATGCACACGTCCGAGCGATGCCAGGTAATGGGGGGCCTCGCTGGGGGCCACGACGGGGGGACGCGATGGGCAAGCGATTTCGGGGGCCCGGGCACCCTCTCGGGGCGTCCACGGAGTCATGAACCCGGCGCGAGCCCAATCGGTGAGTATACCTGAGCGAGGAAGGCACTGCGATGCAGTGCTTTGCTGGGCATGGCTCTGCAGTGCTTGGCATTGACGGCATTGCACGGCGTTGCGTGGCATTGTCGCGCAGTGCTTGGCATTGAGTTACTTTTCGTGGCATTGCTTCGCTTTGCTTGACATTGGTATGCCTGGCATTGTTTGGCATTGCACGACATGTCTTTACTTTGATGTGCTTGGCACTGTGTCGGGTTGCATTGCTTGGCATTTGTTTTGCGTTGCTTGGCATTGCTTGTCATTGCCTGGCGTTGCTTGGCATTGTTTGGCGTTGCACGGCATTGCTTGGCATTGCTTTGCAATACTTGGCATTGCTTGCTGTTGCTTGGCATTTCCTGGCGATGCTTGGCACTGCTTTGCTGTGCATGTCGTTGCTTGGCATTGTCTGGCATTGCTTGGCGTTGCTCGGCATTGATTTACACTGCCTGGCATTGCTTTGGGCTGATTTGCATTACTTTGCTTCACGTTGCCATGCTTTGCTTTGTTGTAACATTGTCTGGCATTGTCTGGCCTCGCTCGGCATTGCTTCGCAATGCTTGGCGGTGCTTGACATTGCTTGGCGCTGCTGCTTGGCGTTACCAAACATTGCTGGAATTGCTTGGCATTGTTCTGCTTTGCCGGGCATTGCTTTGCTTTGCATTGCAAGGATTTGCACTGCGCTGCTTGGCGACCGTACACCAGGGCCAGGGGCAACCCGGGCAACTGGACAGATGAGCAACCGGGCAACTGGGCAACCAATGCACACAATCAACCAGACAACTATAGAAGATGAAAAAACAGCATACACATCAACTTTCGACGGTCCGCGCGGATGTCTTGGATCTGCGCTTGACCGCCTCCCCAGCGCGCGGAGCGCGCCAACGGCGGCGCCGGAGGCGCCGCCAGGGGGGCCCTGGCGCCGACCCAAGACATCCGCGCGGAGCTCCGAAAGGTTAGGCCCATGGCGCCTTTTCTTCTTCGAGGCAAGCAGCAAGACATCAAACCAACCAGGCAACCGGGCAACCTGAGCATGGCCGGGCCTCCCGGCAAAGCATGCCGGGCGACCGAGCCACCGGGCAGCCGGAGAAGGGCCCCGCAGCGGGGCCACCGCAGGGAAGGCTGGCTGGCCAGGCCGGGCACGCACCCACGGGTTCGTCAAGACCAGATACTGGACCTATCGTTAAGTCGGGCGTGTCCCCCTGCAGGGGGATCTTCGAAGATAAATTAAAAAAATGCTCAAACATGCTCCTGAATTCGTCAAAAAATATTGAAAAAAGTCCCCCGACAATTTTCTGACAATTTTTGAAAATTCCCCCTGTAGAGGGACAGGCCCGACTTAACCTATCGGGCAAAGCCTCGTCAGTTGGGCAGGAACCGACCGTCCCAGCATTCCTTTAGCCCTACCACTACCTGTTCTTAGAGCCCAGAGATGTCCTCTGAACCAGAACCATGCTCTTAGAACATAGCCCCGCTGCATTGAAACAAAGCAGTCTCAGCCTGAAACGTTCGAAACACGTTTGGTGCGAACCACGACAAGTTCTTAGAACATTCTCTGGTGGGCCTTTAAGCAGGCCAGGACGCTCCGCCACTGTTTGAGCCTGGGGAGTCTCAAACCTTCAAACACAGAACTGCACGACAAAAGAGCATCCGCGAGCCTCGCACACCCGTGTCTGTGCCGTCGCCCCCTGAGATCCGACGTGCCGAAGCGGTTGCAGCGTCGTGAGAAGTACGAGCGACGCCCCAAACAGGCCTCTTCCTGCAGCACTCCTCGAGTCGGATCGACCCGTGAGGACCAATCGGGAGCAGCCAAAAGGGGGGTGTCCAAGAGGGGGGGGTGCAAATCTTGACCGGCGGCATGTGCGCGGCCCAGCGGGGGGGCCAGGGACGTAATGAAATAAGAAGAGGTGTCATGAAATCTGGGGAAATATCATGGCCCACGCCATGATATCCACCCCCCCCTAGTCATCACCCCCCTCCTTTCCGCCCCCGAACCACAGGGCCCGAAGCTGGGCGGCAGCCGCCCGGCTCTCAGGATCTCAGGGGGCCGCCTATCCGTGCCGCCGCTGGCACTCCAGAGCCCAACCCCCCGCCGCAGGCTCCACGGGCAGCCCGCGCCCACCGCCGGAGCCCCTGCGGCCGCGCCCACCCCATGCGGCCCCTGCGGCCGCTGCACCCCCTGCGCACGGCCCGCCCTCACCGCCGGCCCCCGCGGCCGTCATGGTCATGGTCAGTCCCGGCGCCGGCGCCGGCTGTCGCGGTCGTAGTCGTCTTCACTGGAGAGGGGGGGGGTAGCGCAGCGCGGCTGGGCGAGGAGAGGGCGACCAGACGGGGGCAAGGGGGGGGGGGGCGGGGGGGAGGGAGGAGCGAGGGAGAGGGGAGAGGAGGAGGAGGGGGAGGAGGGGGGGGAGGAGGACGCGATATATCATATATCCTCACAGCGACAATGTCATCTTCAAGCAGAAGAACTTCCATCTCACACCCCAAACTCGGACAGACCTCCACGCAGCCGAAGGAGACCACAACGGGTACCTCGTACCTCTGGTCGATGTGGACGACGAGGAGCTCTGCCACCTGCAGAAACTGTGAGGCGGAGTACAGGTATTCCATCAACCAGTACCACGAGATCGGAGTGCGTTACGACGTCCAGCTGGAACAACCGACCAACGGGAACCCTCAGTGGCCACAGATAGCTAGTACGACATGTCACACATCCGCAAATGTCTCATATGAAGAAGGCATCGAGTACCCGCATGCCACGGGACGAACAGCGATGTCCTCCCTGGAGGCGCGCACCAACAATCGGGGGGCGACGCACACATAGTACTAGTATGTTGGGGTGACGCCGATGCCACGCTCAGCATGCTGCCGCCACACGAGGCCATTACCATCATGCGGCCGCCCCCTCCGGAGCCGGCGAACCGGAAGGAGCCAAACAGCATCCTCCTCGTCGACTGCGTGAGCACCACGGCTGACTACCTACCAGACCACCCCAAGCCAACCCGAAGACCCGAATTTCGGGTTGGGAGGGGTGCGGGCTTCATATGTGTTTTTTCAATGTTCCCTGACCCCCCCCCCACTGGAAATGGAGGGCAAATCGGGACCTTCGGGTTGGGTTGGGGTGGCTTAGCGGGCGGTGAACGGCGGAGGACAGCCACAACCTCATGTCCCACAGCAGGAGCGACGTCCGCGAGGAGGGTAACAAAATGCCCACCAAGATGCTGAATCGCTTCTACAACACTCTCAGCGACGACCACGAGCCGATGCTGGAGCTGTCAGGGTTCGCCTGGCGGACGCCCGTGAGGGACAACGTGGGGGCCCCACTCGCAGCTAGCGCGGAGAGAACGATCACGGCCCCCACCAAACACTACCAACATCCCCAAAACAGCGAACCGAGTCTTGACCGTCAACCCCACCCACCACGCCAGCTCCAAAGAGATCAACGGCCACCAAACTGTCCGCCACTACCGGTCTCCCCGCCAAAATAAAGACGTGGACCGAGCATGCACTGGCACAAACACTGAGTCAGTCAACGAATCTTCCCAGTCAGCTTGCCACTCGACCACCTGCACAAACTGTCAACGCCTCGGCCATGGGTTGCCTTACCCAGCCGGGAACCCAACTCACTGGAACGCTCAACGGTACAATTACAAACCCGAGACACCCGCGAGTCGGAATGGGCCGACCCTGGAGGCGTCCTGTTACGACCCCGATGGAAGAGACCAGTCTCCGCCAACAACCAGAGTGGTTCTACGACGTCAACAACCCCATTATGAGAAACCCACCTGTAGCAGCAAAAAACCAGCGGCAGCCACCTCCCACTTCCTAAGGCAAGGTCGCCATCCCCGCAGGCAAGATCCTTCTACGTGGACATCTCCGTCCTCGGTGACAGCATCCTCGGGTACAACAGCGACTACGAGTACAAAAACGCCCTGGACGCCATCAAAACGGAGATACACAGCACCTGGACAACGACCAGATGCTCGCTTATAACGAGGCTGACGCACTACGCGTTCGCCTCATCCACCACATGACCCACCATCAAGCCGAGGCCGTCCTCAGCTCCGAGGGAATAACCAGGGTGATCACGGATACCCAGACGGCACAACCACCTGCAGCCGCAGTCTACCAGTCCTACGATCAGCACACCACCACTTCGGCCAGTAGCTCCAAGAACCTTGACGACCCCGTCGCCGATGACCGCAACGGGGTTCGCCACCAGCCCCAGGATACCGACCCCGGTACGGAGGCGACGACAACATCTCCGTCGACGGCGCAGTGCGACACCAGCGCCAAGACCGCACCCAAGGATTGGTCGCACCACCAATACTCATCGCACCCGCCAAGAAGAGCCGCCCCCACAGAACCACACCGTGCCACCAGTGGCTGCAGCCAGGGCAGGGCTGGACGGGCTGTCGGACTACAGCCGGAGCGTTGACCCAAGGAGCCCTTAATAATGAACGAGAACCCTTCCATCCACAAGTTTAACCTCGATTTCCCATCGAAAACCAAAGGAGCACCTAAGGGAAACTGTGAAGCAATTAGGGAACACGGAGCCCCTCCCCAACGAAAAGGGTTCCTTCTTCAGGGCCCCGACTGCACAGGAAGTTGGGGCTGGAGAGACCCAGGCCCAAACCCAACACACCACCACACCAGGAGGTGCCATCCAAGCCTCCTCCAAAGACAGTGCCCCCCGCACGCGAGGGGCCAAAACCGCAGAACAGCAACAGCACACCATAACGGCCACCTCCCGCCAAAGCCACCGTGGACCATACCACACATAGATACAATATACGAGCAGGCCACCACGCCCATCGAGGAACCACACATTGGCACGAGATCAAGATCCTCAGGGGCAAACCTCCACCAACATGCTATCAAGCGCATGATCGTCAACATTAGCAGCAATCATTACGACGAGAACGCCTACCATTCCAATATCAACGTCCACAGGTTGATTTCAGAAGCCGTCGCATACATCAGCGATCCCGAGACTATGTAGAAGTGGGACACAGACCCCAACAACATGCTGAGATGCAAATACGACGTCCTGATGACCTACGTTGCGCCTTTCCTCAACTACTTCATGCGCTACGATGCACTCCCAGCAGCACGACTATTCCACGGTGGCCCACTCGCAGACAACCCTGGCACTTCATCAACCACCAGCTGGTCGCGATAGTCGCATACCCGATCGCTGACGACCATACGACCTACCGACGCCAATACCAGCCGTTCAAGATCGATGAGACCTCCTCACGCACATCGAGCTGGGGGTACGCTACAACCCTACTTCATAGGCGGCTCCATTCGCGATCTCGCTCTTCCAAAGGATAGTCGCCAAAAAGGCCATCGACACTATCAACGAGCTGATCGAGCCCCAGGGAGCCGCCCCACCTGGTAACATCGTTGGGCAGCCTACGACCCACGGCGGAGACGACAGTGGGGGCCTACCGGATGATGGAGATGCCAGGGGGGACTTACCACGCGCAAGTAAAACCGAGCACCTTGACACAGAACGACAGCACTGCAGAACCCACGCGCTCGGGCCCAACAACCGCAGGCTCAGCGTCGCAGATGAGAGACCTATCCCAAATCGCCGACGCCCTCAGCTGGCCCCTGTTCCACTTTTCTCCCCGACGCCTGACCGAGAAGAAGAACGCGTGGCTGGCGACCGCCACCGACGCTGCGCACAGGAAGCCGGCACCAACGAGCATCATGATTGCCAACGGCAGCATCCAAACAACGGGCGACGATTTCGACGAAACGAGGCATCCACACGATTTCCCACACCAGGGCGATCCACGACAGCGAAGATGTGGCCGACCTCGGGCGCCACGACTTGGATGGTCGGCGCTGCCGGGCATCCCCACAGGCAGGGGGAGAGAGGCCTTTGGCCCTTCTGCCTGGGCGAGGGTGGCCAAGCCGCCACGCTGCCCCACGCTTTTTGTTCGCGAGCGCGCAGGGGCGCCAGGCGCCGTCAGGAAATTGCCAGCTAGCAAAAGCCTAAATTAGCCACGAAGTGCGCAGGAGCGAGCTACGCAACGCATCAGATGCGGGCGACCCAGAGCACCAGGTCCACGTGCAGCGCCAAAATGGCGAAAAGCAGGATGCCGTCGAATTCGAAGTCCACCAGGAGGCCGGCTGCCCCACGCCACCGAGCCTCCGGAAAAGCCACCGCCGCGGAAGGCTCAGACCGCCCCCGCGCTCAGGGGGCGCCCCCCGGGCGGCCACCAGTCCGCCTGCTCTGCAGGCGACGGCCCCCGCCGCTGGACTGGGGGACGCCTCTGGGGGGATCCCACGAACAGGGCGAGGGGCTTTTGTTTCTCTGCCACCCTGGCGAACGTGGACCCCCCCCCCCCACGCTGCCCCCACGCTGCCACCGCGTAACCACACACACTGCCGCCGCACTCGCATCCGACTCTCCCCTTCTTGATGTTACGGTAGTTCTCTCTTACCCTCTCTCTCTCTCTCTCTTTTTTTCTCTCTCTCTCTCTCTCTCTCTCCTAGCCTTCTGCTGTATCTTACCATGTGCCTTTTATGTGTTCTTACCCACCAGCGGGTGGCACAAACTACCTGGCTCACTGTTTTGATCCCCCCCCGGGGCCGACTGGCCCTGGGCGGGGGAGGGAAATGTCTGACAGACTTGTCTGACTTCAGGACTTCGGGATTTACGGAGGAGAACGGGCACGAGGAGGCGGAAGGGTGGAGGGGGAAGGGGCGGGAAGGAGAGGAGCGGTGAGGAGCAAGGGGTGGAAGAGAGGGGGCAGGCAGAGAGGAGCCCAAGAGAGAGAGGAGACAAGAGGCAAGAGGTAACTCCCAATTCGCCCCGAGCGGGCAGCCGCGCGTGGAGCCGGAAAGGGGCGCCGGGGCGTCGCCGACCTAGTCGCCTGCAGCATATAAACCTCCACATGCCCAACTGTGTCTTAAGCGGGAAGAGGGTCAGAGGGCAGAACATCCACCCCGATAGTAACCACCCCGACACGCGAAGCCGTTTAGCAAACGCACCCAAAGAAGGATCAACAGCGCAGGGCTGTTTGGTAAACACCCAAGGCCGTCTAGTAAACGCCAATTGTCCGGTCCGGGTGTTTTTTCCTCTCATGCAGGGCGCAGCAGAGTGTGCCGATTCCTATCCCTATGACTTGAGTCATGCATTTCGCGCCTGCAAAAGAAAACAAGGATTCGCTGACAACATATGGTGTTCAACCATACGCTCCAGCCTTGCCTCGATCGTCCTGAGCAGCAGTAACGTGATGAAGCAAACGTTTGTTAATGTGTGACAGAAGAGGGGGGAAGGGGCAGCGGGAGCCTCGAGCAGCACGCGGCAAGCTCGCCGAATGCTTATCGAGCAACCCTCCCCTTCCAACCCCAATTCCTCTTTACTTCCACCTCCTGGTTTCTTACCGTTGTAGCTGGTCATGATCGTGGTTTTCTTTGGGGTTTAGTGTCATGCCGTTGGCCATGGTATCTACCTCGTCCTCATCCTCCCCTCCTCCTCGAAATGGCCCTGAAGTTCCGAGCAGAACGGGACGCTAACAACAGAGAAACGCCCTGGGGAAAAGGCCTGCCTGGCAACGTCCAGCCTACCCAACCCAGTCAATAAAAGGCGTCATCTACAATGACGGCACGATACGTTTCTCCCTCCCTCTTTCCATTACAAATACGGAGAGATGGTGGGCGGGGGCGGGGTACTTTGCATACAATACAGCATACGCACAATGTAAGACGGGTCGCGGTCAATGGAGGGAGATGGGTACAGAGTACGAGGCACCACGAGGTTAACAGGGCAGTGGGGAATGTTGTACTATCTCAGTGGGGGGAGATGGGACTAGCATATCTGAAGTACAACGAATATAACGGGGTAGTCGGGTTGTTCGGAATACGCTACTATCTCCATCGCTCACCCTCGGCTGCCACAGCTGATCTGGCTCAACGTTGGCCTCGGTGCGCAGTGTGGCGCACTAGCGGGGTTTCTCGGAGTGTGTCGCGCGCGTGGGCCATGGCCTCCACGGCCAGCAACCAACTATGGCCCTGCGGGCTCTGCAACAAGGGGTTCCAGTGCTACAAGATGATCGACAGCCGCAGAGAACACGCGAGAAGCGAGCCAGGTCACGAAGAGGACCCACGTGGCAAAGGCAGTGAATGGCACAGAGTGCGCATCGATTGCGAGCTGGAGCTGAAGGAGGAGGAGTGGGAAGATTGGAGCGACGAGGCAAGGCCACTGCATGGAGGAAAGCAATCTATTACGAGAGGGCAGGTCTGCCGAGAACAAAAGAGGAGGGCGAACGGAGCAGCGTGGGCAGCCCAGGCACCAGGGCAGATCAGAGCTGCTCCACCACAACTGGCAAGCGACGGAGGCCCACATAAACAAAGTCTCGCGCACAAAGAAGCAAGATCGCCATAGAGATGTCAAATGGGGATGGCAACACCGGTGCTGGATGGTATAACACCGAGCGGAGGTGGGTCGTCGGCCTTCAGCCCAGCAGGGGAGATAATGACGGAGGCTCTTCGCTGCGCAGAAGAATGCGAAATCCTACTCGACAGGTGCATGGCCATGGACGTCAATGACGAAGATACGCTGAAGGTGGCAAAACGATAGTTGGAAGATGAAGAGACAGAGATGCACGAGATGGGCGACTACAAGACGGCGAAGGACAAGGCTGAGGAGCAGCCAAGGTATCTCAGGGCGCTGGACTCCGTGGGCAAGTGGAGCGACAACATGCAGATGTTCAACGTCTGCAAGAGGGGCACTGGATGGGACGAAAACTTGGGGGGGGGGCTTGTTCGTGCGGGCTCGCCTTCCCAAGCACGCTGTGGTGAAGAGGCCCCAGTCCGAACTCGAGGAGTGACAAGTGGCAGTTCGAATGGAAGGTGGACTGGTTGCAGATGGCGAAGGCGCAGGAGAGTCACCCATAGAACGTGCTCTTGAAATACTGGCGAACAAGACGAAGGAAACATTCGGGGTAGACTGCAACGCATGGCCAAATACCGGGTGCGGGAGCAGGTTCATCCCGTTCAAGAGCGGGCCATCGATGGTGGTGGAGCTCACGGTGGGAACCGCATGGCAAGCGCTCATTGCGGAAAAGGCTACCGCAGCAACTTGACGACGCCATCAAGGATTGCCATTACGAGTCCTTCGACGCGGCCAGGAAGATGAGCCCAGGGTTTCTATTCGAGATGGTCCCATTGTCCTTCCCGATGACGCACAAGATCGAAGGTTGCGACCTCATCGCAAGGTACCCAATGGACCAATGGGAGAGGTCAGGGAAGAGGGCCTTCACTGTGCAGAGCTGGCGAGCTGGCGCTGAAGATTGCGAAGAACGACGAAGATAATCCCCCACAAGTAACGAAGATTGCCATCAAGGAGATGAACAACGAGGACAACATGGACCCAGAAGAAGTGAAGAGGCTGAAGGAACGCCAAAGCTACGAGACAACACCCAGACCATGCTGGATGGCACCGAGATCTTCGCGGAAAAGTTCGGCTACCCCAAGTCGGAGGAGACGACTGCGGCCAGCTCATCTAGCGGCCACCAGTGAGCGCACCCACTGGGGCCTGCTGATATGCCAAGAGGAAGCATTCGCGAGGTTTCTCGGAGTGCTACTCTAAGCAAGGTGCGACCTGGCCGTGCCCGCAGACAGTCAGGAGGAGCATTAGCGAGGTTTCTCGTAATGAAACTTATGACAGACAATGTGGGCACAACAGTGCGCCGAAATCGGCATCGCAATGGGAAGTATTGTTCGGAGTACCATCAGCACTACTGCAGGGTGTCGAAAGGGAAAAAATGATCACCAGGAAGCCCACCAGTGTGCTCCTCATTGACCCTACTATGACCGTGATTTCCAGTATGCTCTACCTCATATACACTCCGAGGGGGAACCTTGGGCTACTTCAACAGGGTACCAGAGTGGAACATCTCTCGGTACGACCGAGAAGTAAGCTGAGCGAGAGAGGGGAGCACGGAATTCAAACTGCAGGTTTAGCAACCTCCCCAGCAACAATTTGCGGTCTCGGGCCTTCCGTCTCTCCCCCCTCTGCTCCTTTTGAGGTCGTGTCGTCGTCTCCTCCCCCCCCTGGCTTGGGCGCCCTGCTAAGCCTGCGCGTCCCCTCCCCTCGGGCACGCGAAAGGGCCAGCAACCGCTCCCCCTGCACTGACCCGAAGGGACTCGTGACGTAAGGTAGCGAGCCTCTCTGACGGGGCTACCTCGGAGCTCGGTCCTTGAGCTACGTGGTATGCCCCCTGCCGGCCCTAGTGAGAAGGCAGGGCTGTAGAACAACACATCGCAAGGGATTTTGGCAGTAGCGCGTGGGTCGCCTGAGTAGGTGCTCTGACGTTATACTCCCTTATGCGGATGCCCTTGTCCTTGTCCTCCTCCTCCTTCCCTACCTCGTCCTCCGGCTGCACCGCCACCGCCGACCGACATCTCTCGGCGGCGGTTTTTCAGATCTCGCCCTCGTCCTCGTCTTCATGCTCGTCCTCATCGTCCTTGTCGTCGTTATCCTCCTCCTCTTGCCTCCCTCCCTCCCTCCCCTCCTCCATCCTCCTGCTCTCCTCCTCCCTCCCCCTCCTCCTTTTCGTGTTTACTCCTCCTGCTCCTCCTCTTCCTTCTCCTTCTCCTACCTCCTCCTCCCTCTTCCTACTCCTCCTCCGCCTCCCCCCTCCCTCCCTGCCACTGCCCACGTAGCCGCCCCCGTGCCCGCTGGCATGCCAAGGCAGGGTGGAGTGCCAAATGCTGCGTGGCAGGGCTTCTGTAGCATTCTCAGGCACGGCCCCCCTCTTCTGGCAGGGCTGTGCGTGCATCCTACCCCCCTCCCGAGGGCTCCTGGGCGCCCCGACGCCTCTTTGCTTGGCGCTCCTCAGGGCGCCTAGGAGAGGCCCAGGATGCATCCCCAGACGGCCCAGGCTGTGCCCAAGACGGCCCCAAGACGGCCCGGAAGATGACCACATGCAACAGGCTTCCAGGCAGAGCACGATTGTAGAGGAAGAAAGAATGGCATAAGCATACACTTTCGACGGTCCGCGCGGATTTCTTGGATCTGCGCTGGACTCCACTCCCTGGCGCGCGGAGCCCGCCAGGGGCGGCACAGGAGGCGCCGCCGGGGGGCCCCAGCGCAGATCCAGGAAATCCGCGCGGAGCTCCGAAAGTGTATGCCTATGGCGCTCTTTCTTCCTCGAGAATGCTCTCCACACAGAGTGCTTCGCGGGTACGGTGGCGGAATGCCGCAGGCAGCTGGACGTGGGATAGCCCTCGGACCCCATGCTGGCCAACTGCCATGCCCGCCCCTTCTCCCGCGCAGCCCGCCTGTAGTCGCGCCTCCGGCGGCGGTCCCGGTCGTCGTAGCGGTCGCCCCCCCCTCGCCTGTCGACGGGCGCATGCCGAGAGCGAAAGTGAGGGAGGAAGTTGGAGGGGCCTTGCGAGGTAGAGGACGCGGAGGAGGAGGAGGAGGAGGAAGAGGACGAGGAGGACGAGGGCGAGAGGGAGAAGGAGAGGTGGAGGGAGAAACATTGGGACGAGGAGCGGGGGAAAGAGAAGGAAATGGAGGAGAACCAATCAGAATGCCGACATGGAGGATAATCATCTAAAGCAGGAGGGAGGCGCCGGGTCAGCGGCGCCCAGTGCTCAGCCAGAAGAAACATGAATCGCGAGACTCGGGTTGAGAAAGTGAGCCAGCGCTCCAAATGAAGGAGGAGGAGGAAGAGAAAGACGGGGGGAATCGGAAAAAGGATGCGGAGGACGAGAAAAAGGAGAAAGAGGAGGACAACAAGGGTGAGAGTCAGAAACAATCGCGAGCCAGCTGAATCGACCAGAAGAAAGGGCGCCGAACGGTCTAACAAAAGAAAACCGATGATGCATCCGCAAAGGCGAATGCGAGGTCGCAGCGAGGGTAGAAGTTCCATGAAATGTGCCAGAGCTGACATCAGGGAGCGGGGAGGAAGAGATGATGAGATAATATGGAAGAAGAACATGAAACGCCTGTAACATGATATGCGACGCGATGTTGTGACATATCGTGAAGCGACAGGGGCGATACCAGTCGCGACGCAACACTCGCTGACATGGATCGCCAACATCCTCCGCCGATCGAGCATGCACACAATGGCAGCAGACGCATGACTTCGGATGAGTGCCATCATCCATCGGATTGGATGCGTGCAACCAGCCTCGAAGCCACATAACAACTCCTGACGATGGAGGGCGTAAATCATGCCACCCCTGCGTCGTTTTAGAGGCGGTGCTGTGACCATTCTCGGTCACCTCCGTCCCTCGCTGCCCCCCCTCCCGCCTCCCTCCTCTGGGAAAACCAAAACGTACCGATACTGCTACCCCCGGACCTCTGCCGGGGTGCGTTCTGACCAGAATTTCGAGGCGAATCCAGCGGTGGCGACGAGGGCCTCCCAGGAGGCCCAAAAAGGGGAAAACGGGCGAGGAGGTAGAGGTATGGGTACCTTTTCCTTCGCTGACCCTCCCCCCTCGGTTCCTCCCTCGCTTCCTCCCTCCGAAGGCCCGAACGCGGGGAGGGCCCGTGGCACCGAGCTGGCCCCGAGGGCCCGACAGCTCCCAAGTCGGGAAACTTGCAAGGAGGGCCCGTCGGCCTCCGTCGATTGATGAGTCGGAGCGGCGATCGAGTCGAATCGGATCGGCGAAACCGGCAGCCAAGTCGGGAGGAGTCGAGTCACAGGAGGGAAAAAAACACACAGAGACACAACTCATCGTCGATTCCTTAGAACATATGGTAAAAGATGGGAAGTGTGGGGGGGGGAAGACAAGAATCCAGAAATTATGTGAAATTATCGGGAATCCTGTTACTTGTATGTATTTGTGTGTGTGTGTGTGTGCGTGTGTGCGTGCGTGCGTGTGTGTGTGTGTGTGTGTGTGTCTCAGGGCCCCTTCAGAAGGGGCCCTGGGACACACAAATAAATACACACATGAATAACAAGATCCTCCATATTTTCTAATATTTTCTGGGTTCTTGTCTTCTTCCCCCCACTTCCCACATCTTCCCATATTTTCCTGGGAGTCGACGATGAATTGTGTCTGTGTGTGTTTTTCCCTCGTGAGAGTCGGCGGGAAGTGGGTCAGCTGATAAGGCCTCTCTCGAGAACCGGGGATCCGCATCGGGCTCCGAAGTCGAACCCGACGAGAATCGGAGTCGAAATCGGATCGAAAGGAGTCGGAGAAGCCGAAATGACCGGGCCCCACGATTACACACCGCCGCCACGTCGATTCCTCCGTCCTCCTCCGCCCTCTTCCTCTCCTCCATCCCGGGAGAGGGAGGGGATTGAGGGAGATGGTGGTGGTGGTGGGGGGGGGGGAGTACACCCTTGGGCCCCGTAATATAGGGGAACAAAAAGTGGCATAAAAACATAAAAACTCGGAGGTCCGCGCGAACTTCTCGGATCCGCGCTGGACCCCCCCTCCCTGGCGCGCGGAGCACGCCAGGGGCGGCGCCGCCCCGGGGGGTCCAGCGCGGATCCAGGAAATCCGCGCGGAGCTCCGAAAGTGTATGCCTATGGCGCTCTTTCTTCTTCGAGAATGCTCTCCACACAGAGTGCTTCGCGGGGGGTCCAGCGCGGATCCGAGAAATCCGCGCGGACCTCCGCTCCCCTACGTCGAAAGTGAGCCCTGTCCGTCCGTCGCCACCTCTGCGAGGGTGGGCGTGCCGCTGGCCGGAGGAGGGCGCAGCCGCAGGCCTTCCGCCCGGGGGCCGCGGCCGAGCGCGCGGGGGACGCGCGCGGGCCGCGGCGCGCCCGGAGGCGGTGGCAGGCGCGCTTTTGGAGGTGCTCGCCAGCCCTGGGCGGAGGTCTTCGGAGAATCAAAAACGCCATACAGGGCAGTTTTCAAATACATAAGATTATTTTTTAATATCGCCTTTTTCATACATGAGCATGAATTTGTGATTGACCCCCCTTGCAAATTCAGCACAAGTAAATATCATATACTGAGTCAGCTTAATTTAATGTTGCCTTTTAATTGGTTTTGCTTAATTTGAGTAGTTTTTCATAACTAGGATGTATGAATGAATTTGCGCATGAACGCATCATCTTCGTTAATACTAAATCCCTGCATGTTTAATACATGATCCGCACGTGGAGCATGTATTAAAAAAACGGCGCTGTACAGACAACCTGTATAGTAAGGAGGTGCGATAAGGATGCAAGGACCTTGGAAACTCATGTCGAAGTTTTCCGAGCGGGGCGCGGTCATCGAAAGTGGCCAAGGATGGACCGAGGAGGCAAGGATGCAAGGGTACCTTGGGGAAGGTTGCCCATCCTTACAATGCTGGTTGACTGTAAACATCAACTGTTGGCGCTCTGCGCGGATTTCTCGGACCTGCGCTGGACCCCCAGGGGCGGCGCCAGAGGCGCCGCCAAGGGGGGCCAAGCGCGGATTCAAGAGATCCGCGCGGAGCGCCACAAGTTTATGGTTATGTCGTTTTGCTCCTTCGAGTTCTGTCGTCAACGCTGGAGGGGCGAACGTGCTCGTGAAACTGGGCTAGCCTTCCGGCAGGTTGGTTAGGAAACGTTGGCCCCGCTTTTCTGGAGGCGGTCCCTGAATCAGAGGCTCGACTGCGAGCACCCCGACAAACGAAGCCGTTCAGTAACAGGAAACGCACCCAAGGAGCGAATCGAACAGGACACGGCCTTCCTGAAAACGTCCAGGGCGTTCCAATGCATGCGCCACCTGTGGGTGTCGGGGTGCTTCCCCTCCCTGGACGGATGGGCGGTGGTGCCGCGCCGGCTCGTGCTGGAGGCCACCCCCCCGCCGACCGATCTGGCGAGACATGGTGACGCCCCTGCAAATCTGGGACGAAGCACGTATGAAGACTGGCGATGTGGCAGCAATTCCTGGCGCGGGCAAGACTTGTATCAATACCCGCGCGCCTCGGATGTTCGGGGAAAGCTATGCCAAGAGCCCAAGACGCAGTGGATGTGCATCCACACGCGCCTCCCAGGGGCCAGATGCCCATCCATAATTATCCACACTGCGTCTCGGGCTTCCGCGGAAGCGGGCCCGAAACTCCGGGACGCAGTGGACATGGGCATGCAGTTTTTTTGTTTTTGATCTACGGCCCGCAAGGAAGAGTCCAGAGGGCGGGTCAATCGGGCTGACTGGGGCACAGAGCCAGATAATTTGCGAACCCAGCCGCCACTGTCGACAGGGCATGAAGTCTTGCCCGCGCACGCAGCAGTTCCAGGCCCTGGCCGCCGCGCCCCCGGGAGGGGGGCGACCACGACGCCCTGGGGGGCGCCTCCCGTCCGCGCTCGAGGCGCGGGGAGCGGCACCTCGATTCCGCGCGGCGCCCAGCGAGCACGGACACTTCCTGCCTTGGGCCCTGCTGCGGGGCGTCGCTGAACCGAACTGCCCACGAGGTTCTCCGCGGTGGGATGCGCCGCCTTTCTCTCCACCCCCCCCCCGCCGCGGCCGCCCTCCTCTCCCCCCCCCCCCCGCCAGCCTGTGCGCGGTTCGCCCAGCAATGCCCCCCCGCGAAGGAAACGGACGCGGCGCGCGACCGCCATCGCAGCGACTAGAGGAGTGGGGGGCCGCATTGCCGGCGCCAAAGCGCGAGGGCATCCTGGCCTCGGGCCGGGACGGACGCAACAGGCTGCCCGGCGCTGAGGCCACGCGGGTGGGGGCGCGATTGCCGCTGTCCTGCGACAGGCGGCACAGCTGGTGAGTCTCTTGGGCTGGGTCGCGGGGTCTCTGAAGGGGCCCCAGGACACACAAATAAATTCACACAGATGAAAATATTCCCCATATTTTCCCATATGTTCTGGGTTTTTGTCTTCCCCCTACTTCCCATATTTTCCCATATTTTCTGGGGGGTCGACGATTACTTGTGTCTGTGTGTTTTTCTCCCTCCTGGGTCTCTTGGCATCCTGGGCGACGAGCGCGGACGCTGCAGGGGCAAGGCATGTTGCGTTCCGAGGGCTGCCTGCAGGATGGCACTGTGCTGGGTGGTCGACCCCGACACGCGCGAGCGCTGCAGGGGCAAAGTGTGATGCGCTGCCTGCACGATAGCACTGCACCGAGTGGTCAACCCTCCGCCTCCCCTGGCCCACCCTCCTAGCATTGGAGGCCTAGAAATTGGCACCAACACCAACACAGGGAGTTGCCTTCATATGGAGAAGAAGATCCTAGATGTCGGTGTTGGTGGCAATATTTCGGTCACCTTGGAAGCCAGAATATTGCCACCATCACCGAGATCGGGATCGTCTTCCCCCAGTGGAGGCACACCGCCGATCTTGGCGTTGGTGTCAAACTCTAGGCCTGCGATAGCATGCAGGTACACGGGCAGTGCTCTTACAGCCAGCCAGGCTCCTCCCTCGCGGATGGGCAAGAGCTCAACTTCTCAGGGGCGAGCGGCATTTACTCTACAGACCGCGCAGAGAAAAACAGCGGTGGGCGGACGCAGTGAGTTTGACGGTCCAGCGAGTTCACGCTAGGGCGCATTCAATTCCTGTGCAGCCCACCAGTGAAGGTCATCAGATGACAGGAGGAGTAAATATCTCCAGCGTCGATGCACCCGTGTCAGCTAGCGCTGCTGAGTACAGCCCCCTGAGGCCGACTAGCGGCCAACGCGGCACTCCAATGACCTCGCGCGGCTGCTCGTTCACGTTTTGAGCTAACCTGCCGCTTGATAGATCCGCATTCATTTCTACTCGGCAGCCCGGTGGGGTGTGTTACCGCCGCTGCGTGACCTGCGGCGCAGGTCATCCCCTGCGCCGTGCGCTCCCTCCGATGGCTACTGTGACTAGCGCCAGCCTCCAGTTGGTGGCGTCCGCATGAGAGAACCGAAGCCGCCCAGAAGTTGGTCGCCGGTAAGGAGACACGGGCTGTCTGAGGGGGCCAGGGCACAACCAAAGAGAAAGCAGAGCGCAACGGTTTGCGCCGAGGCGAAGGGGGCAATCTTCGCTGGGCCCCCTCCTCCCATACATCGCCTCCCGTCCCCATGCTCACCTGTGTCTCTTCCTCCCCTCCGCCCTCCTCTCCACCCTGCCCTTCCACCCTTCCACTCCTCCCATCCACCACACTTCCACCCCTCCGCCCGGCCCCGCGCCCTCCACCTCCTCCTTGCTCCCTCTGCCTCCTGACCCCTGCGAAAGAACGCCAAAGCGCGAGCCAAATTGAGTCCAGAACCGGCCGAGCGGGTTGGGGCGGGAATGGCCGGTCATCGTAGCGGTCCCCTCCACGCCGGTCGTCGTCGTAGCGGTCCCCTCCACGCCGGTCATCGTAGCGGTCCCCTCCACGGCCACCTGTTCGGTGAGCAAGGGGGACAGGGGCAGCAAGACGACGAGGAAGACGAGGAGGGCTGGGAGGTACAGGAGGAGCGAGGATGGGGAGGAGGAGGAAGAGGAGGAGCCAGAAGAAAGGAGAGGACGATGAGCAAGGAGCGGCAAAGACGAAGTGGAAGATCATCAGCAGCGAGAGGCGGGAAGCGAGGGGGAGAGAGGAGGGCTGCAGCAGAACTGAGGAGCGACGAGCAAGGAGAAGCGAGCAACGAGGAACGGGAAGAGGAGCGAGGAGTGAGGATCGAGGAGGAGCGAGGAGAAGAGAGGCGGCGCAAGTGTACCTCGGCCAGTGGCCAACAGCATCAACTGACCACCGTACGCACAAGGCTGCTGTACCCAAGGCATTTTGTGAAAGCAACGGCACCCCACGAATGGTGATCCCACCGGGGAGGACGCAGGAAGAACGTTGGGGTCGAGAAACCCAGCAGAAGCGCAGTGAACACGAATCCCACAAGCCCTCTGGGGGTATGTTGTTTCAGGGATCTTGAAGGGGCCCAGGGACACACAAATAAATACACACAAATAACCAGATTCACCATATTTTCCTATATTTTCTGGGTTTCTGTCTTCCCCCCCACTTCCCATATTTTCCCATATTTTCTGGGGAATCGACGATTAAGTGTGTCTGTGTGTTTTCTCCCCTCCTGAGATCCACTGTTCCAAAACCCCTTGGGATCTACCACGGCGTGTCTGGGCGCCGCCCCCCCCCCCCCCACCACCACCAACCCGAGGATCTAGAGCGCCTAAGATGGCCCTACAGGGCAGTTCTTAATAATATGATGTTTAAAACTATGGGATGGTTAATACCTGACCAGTGTATGAATAAATCTATGCATGAACTCATCGTTGTTTTTAGTACTAAACCCCTTTATTTCAATACATGATCCGCACGCGGAGCGCGGAGCATGTATTAAAAGCGGCACTGTAAGTAGATGGCTCCGAGGTGACTCTGGACAGCCCCAGATGGCCCCGACACACCAGAGACGCAAAGCTCCAACACAATGGCCTCCAACATGCTTCAAAGGGGCCTTCGATGGAGCTCGCTATGGGGCCACGAATCGTTGTACTGGGTGGGGGTGACGCATGCTGGCGGTGCTCCTGGGGCCTTCGGTAGAGCCCTCTATGGGGCCACGAAGCGCTCCACTGAGTGAGGGTGACGCATGTGGGTAATGCCACTAGGGCCTTCGGTGGAGCTCCAGATGGGGTCACGAAGCGCTGTAAGTACTAGGTGGGGGTGACGCATGCGGGCGGTGCCACTGGGGCCTTCGGTGGAGATCCCTATGGGGCCACGAAGCGATGTACTGGGTGGGGGTGACGCATGCGGGGGGTGCCACTGGGGCCTTCGGTGAATCCCCCATATGGGGTCACGAATCGCTGTAATGGGTTGAGGTGGCGCATGCGGGCGGTGCCACTGGAGCCTTCAGAAGAGCCCCCTATGGGGCCACGAAGCGCTGTACTGGGTGGGGGTGGCGCATGCGGGCGGTGCCACTGGGGCCTTCGGTGGAGATCCCTATGGGGCCAAAAAACGATGTACTGGGTGGGGGTGGCGCACGGGGGCGGTGCTACTGGGGCCTTCGGTGGAGCTCACTATGGGGCCACGAACCGTGTGACAGATGACATGCGGAGAACAGAAGAACGAATGCTGATGAGAATGTCGCTGCTGATGACGACGATGACGGACACGATGACGATGATGATGCTGCTGCTGCTGATGATGATGAGGATGATGATGATGATGATGATGACCATGCTGATGATGTTGGTGCTGATGATGGTGGTGATGCTGATGATGGTGGTGATGATGAGGAGGATGTTCATGGTAATGGTAATGATGATGCTGATGATGATCGTGATGATGAGGATGAGGATGCTGATCGTGATGATGATGATGATGATGATGATGAGGATGAGGATGATGATGATGATGATGATGATGATGATGATGATGATGATGATGATGATGATGGGAGGATGGCGGAGGGAATGGATGAGGACAATAACGTCATTATTGTTGATGATGCTGCTGATGATGATGATGATGATGATGGAGGGAGGGGGAGGGGGAGGAGGAAGGAGGGACGCGGGTGCTGTCTTGTCAAAACGAGGACCCAACACCACAGGATGCTTGGGAATCATCATCTCAGAATCCTGCGCAACAAACGTTCGCCAGCGTGGGACCCGAACAATCAGTTATTGCGCTGTGGCAATGTACGACGTAAAATGGGGAACCTGGTGCGATATACGTGGTGCAAACTAGAGGTGGTAAGGAGGCGGCGGCGACGCGGCAATGTGGCGAAATCTCGCCGGACCCACCCAGCGCTCGAAGCGCATCGAAGCCGCAACGAGGCGACAACGAGGCGGCAGTGTGACGAAACCTCGCCCGACCCACCCCGCGCACGAGGCGGCAACGAGGCGGCAACGGGGCGGCACCATGACGAAGCCTCGCCACACCCACCCAGCGCACGAGACGGCGACGAGGAGGCAACGGCGGCAACGTGGCGACACGCCGCCCCAGTCCACCGAGCGCGCGAGGCGGCAACGGCGTGGCCACGGGGGCGGCAACGCAGCCACACCGTGGCGAGGCCTCGCCGGACCCGCCGGGCGCACGAGGCGGCAACCAGGAAGCACAGGGGGCAGCAGCGCAGAAAAGAAGCTCGCCGGACCGGCCCCCGAAGACGCGGGGCAGCAGCAGGGCGGCAACGGGCAGCAACGTGGCGAAGCCTCGCCCGGACCCACCCCTGGCCATCGCTCGGACGTCCATTCCCTGTGCTTTTTTTCGGTTTCGTGCGTGGCTTTGTCGCCAGATGATCAAGGATGCTCCTCGATGGTCCTCGCCGAAGGAAAAATTCACACGTCCGAGCGATGCCAAGAGCCAGCACACGAAGAGACGACACGGTGGCACTCTCGCCAGAGCCACCACCCAGCGCGCGAGGCGGCCACGGAGCGGCAGCGGGGCGGCAGGGAGGCGGAGCGTCGCTAGAGCCGCCCAGCGCGCAAGGCGGCAGCCTGGCGTCGAGAAGGCACCGGGCGGCAACGTGGCGAAGCCTCGCCGGACCCGCCCGACGCACGAGGCGGCAGCGAGGCGACCCACGCAGCTCTCACAGCACGGGTACCAGGCGGCAACGGGCGGCAGCGTGGCGAAACGCAGCCAGGCCCATCAAATGCCTTAGCAACTGGATTGCAAAGCAAGCGTTCTCTGAGGGAGGTACCACAGAGTCCACACCTACGCGCCGCCGAGCGCGCGCGCAACAAACTCAGTCAACAGGCGAAGATCTGTTACGAGTCCATAGCATGGCGAATCAACAACTATCATCTTCAAGCATGGCGCATCAACAAATATCAAGAGTGAATTGCGCTTCAGGCAAACACAGCCAGACCCCTTCGCGCGCCATTTCGTTGAACGTCTAAAAGAATCACAAGATGTTAGCTGGCGTGTCGGCACAAAACACCCTGGCCACTCGCGCGCGGATGTCGACGAAGAACACCATCGCGCGCACACCCGCGGTGTCATATCAAACCACGCGGGCCACACGCGCACGCGTCCGCGCGCGCACGTCGAGATCATGTCACGATGCCTTGGTATCTGTGAGGGCGCAGTGTCTCATCATCCTCATCGGCGCAGTCGCCACCAGCATCAGCATCGTCATAATCAATATCGCCACCATGCTCGAAGTCATCGCCGCCACCCATCGGCAAGCGCCATCGCGGCCGCTCAAACTGTGTCAAACCATCTGGCCGATCTGCGCGGGATTGGGCGCGCGCTAGTGCGGCCGCAGAGGTGCGCCAGCAAATCCCAATCGGCAACCGCATTCGAAGCCGAAAAAGTTTTGCGAAACCATTTGCGTCTGGGGAGGTGGGATGTGTGCGCGAGCATTGGAGCTGACGGTTGCATGTTCCGCAATAACATTCTCCACTCAAATGAAGGCTAAACAGTGCCCCCTCACCCGGGTCCGTGGCTGACAGTTCACACTGCTTTGTGTTTTCACATTTGTTCTGCGCGATCGCCCATCCTGAAAATCACATGGCACAGTGCCAACCCAACCAACATCGACCCCCCTCATCCACGTCAAATGAAATCATATGCGCGCACCCGCTTAGCTCAAATAGTGATTCCGCCAAAACCCCTTTTGCAAACAAAAGCAGGGGAAAACAACACGCGCGCACGTACCGCAATCAGATCCACTCCTTAGATTTGCAAGCGCTTCAACATAAATCCTCACAAGCGTTAGGATGCGAATTGAAAATCGTAGAGATTTGCTACCCGCGCGCACTTTTGCGAAATCATGCGAATCCCCTTGAGGTTGTCAATCTCGCCAAAAACCCGCCTTCGAATCTCACCACCAAGTGCGCGCGTTGATGTAGCACGGGCCCAATATAGTAACCAGTACCAGAAAATACCATGATTTTCGCATGCATGCGCCGCCACGCGTGCGTCGAAACCCTTTCGAAAAAGCAATGGTATTGCGGGGCATTTCAAGATAGTGATCGTCAGAAACACAGTAAACAAAACACCTTGATGTTTGGACAACAATTTTTCCCATTTCTTGAAGTTTCCGCGCGTGCACTTCCTCATCACCCTCACCAGCGCAAGCGCATCATTGTCGCCAACGTCATCGCCCATCGTCGCCACTGCCCCCATCATCATCACAATTACAATCTCCACCGACATATTGACAACATCGTCGTCGCCAGCACCAACGCCGTTATTGGCGTTGCCTTCGTCATCGTCATCATCGCCACCACCATCGCTATTATCAGCACGGTTGCCGCCATTATCGACGTCATCATGGTATCGCGCCGCCCGAATCACCGGCCAGCACTGAATTGCCCGCGCGTCTTGGCGGCCTTTGAGACGCGCTGGCAAATTCCCATCGGCAAGCGCCATCGCGGCCGCATCAACTGTGTCAAACCATCTGGCCGATCGGCGCGGGAGTGGGCGCGCGCGAATGCGGCAGCAAAGGTGC